GATGCTGCTGCCCGAGAAGGTGTCCCCACCACCGTGCCTGCCCTCTAAGAAGGAGCCATCGGCTCGCAGGGGCTGGGGAAGCGGTGGCAACTGAACATACCCACACCCAGGCCCAGGCCCCGCTGTTTGCGGCTCCTCCCTCGGCTGGACAGGACTGTTTCAATGTCTCAGTTCCTCTGCCTTTGAAATGTGGCTTCGCCAAGAGTTACTGGGTAGATCATTACTGATAATAAAATCTGTTTTGTTAGTGTGCTTCACAGGACTGTGATAAGCGTGATGCTCTATTTATATTTTATACTTATCTATATCTTATTCACACATAAATTCAGATCTAAGTGTTCCAAAATAATGCTAAACAGGGATCCTGGTGCTGTTTCGGCCAGGGGTTGGCAAGCCAGGGGCTGTAGGCCAAATCAGTTCTGCTGCCTGCCTTTTTGTGGCCTCTGAGATCATGGATTTTGCATTCTTCATTAAAACATAAAAAAGATAAACAGATTTCATGACAAAACTCACAGTTCGGTGTCCATGTCAGCGTTGTGTTAGGAATCGCATGTCATCTCTGCCTGCCCACCTGCCCCAGCAGCCGAGGGAAACAGTCACTCCTCAGCCTAAATAGCTCCCGTGTGGCTTTGTAGTGGTCACCTAGTGCTAAGCACCAAATACCTCAAAACTCAGCGGCGTGAGACAGCACACATGTATTGCCTCAGAGCCTATGGATCCAGAATCTGGGCACAGCCTGGCTACGGCCTCTACCTCAAGGTCACTCGCAGGCCCTTGTGCCAGTGATTTTGTTTGTGGCCAGCGGCCGTGCCCACTCCCTAGCCCAGAGCCCTGGGGTTCAGGCTTGCGTCACCAGGCACAATGGGCTGGAATCTGGCATTAGGTTCACTTGGCTTTCTAGAAGGATGCAGTAAGAGCACAGCATGTTGGCGTGACCACATCAGACACAGCTTCATAGGCACCTTCCAGCCAGCTCAGTGAGCTGCTCACGAAGGGCAGGCCCTTCTGGCAGTGATGAGCGAGAAGGGGGTGCGGACACCCCAGCCTGGAAAGCTTCTCCAGGACCTGCCTGGGCTGATTCTCGTGGACATGCAGCTGCGAGCGAGCAAACACAGGTACCCCTGTTCTCTCCAAGCGCTTCAAGTAGTCCTGGTCCGGCAGGAGAGCCCTTGGGCCCTACGTGCTTGAGGTCAGGGCGCTTCACGTCGGGGTGAAGGCACAGTAGCATGGCCAAGTGCCGCTTCCCCTTGGTCGCATCCCCGTACATTCCACGGAGAGCGAACAAGAAGGGAAGCCCGAGATCAGCCTTCCCGTGGGGAGAGGACGCTGTACGCCCTTCTCCGCAGCACCCGTTTTCTAGCGAGTCTGAGCTTCAGGCCTGCACCTGCTAAGGAGCCCTGACCACTCCCTTCACCACACAGCGGGGGCCTGAGTGGCCTTTCCTGAGCCTCTGGCTTCACTTCTCCATGCTGGGGGGCTGGGGCCTCACCCCACCCACTAAATTCTCCTTGTTCTGACCATAATGGTTTCACTCTGGAAAAGCAAGGATTGGGGGCTCTCACGGGTGGTTTTCCATGGCCCCTTTCCGATTTCTACTCAGTTTCCTCGTGCCTGATCCCCACTTCGTCTCAACGTAAAACTCAAGTTTCCTTACAGGGCACCTGTCTTCTCGCTCACTCTGCTCGGGGCTGTGTTGTGCATGCTCGAACACCCCCGCCCCCGAGTTGTACTCAGGGTCCCCTGCTCCTCTTCCCGTTAGGCATCTCAGTGGGGATATCCCTGTTTTGGGGTGCCCTTGGCTCTCCCGAGGCCCTTATGTGGATGACCACGTCGATGTAATGACTGCTCTTTCTGGGGCCTGGCCAGGAGGAGCCATCAGTGAGCATCCCATGCGTCAGCTTCCAGAACAATCGACAGCAAAAGTGCCCTGTGATGATAGTGGTCAAACTGTTGATCTCTAGGCCCTGGCTCCCCACAAGTGAACACTGGGGGTGATCTAGCTCTACCCTGGTCAGTCTTCACTCAAAACTCACGCCTGCAAGAAGTGCCTGAAAGTTGGGGCTGGGGAAGGCTGTGCTGTTCTGGGCTGAGCCAGGAGACACTCCGGCTTCTCGGGCTGCCTGTGCCCAACCAGCAGGGAGGATCGCCCCGTGCGGGGAGCCAGACAGCAGCGTGCTATGAGGACACAGACAGGGAAGGAGAGGGTGCTGCTTATTCTACGGCGTGTTCTTCGTCTCCCGGGATGGAGTGCCAGAAGAATTAAGACTGCCAGAGCTTTTAGTAGAATATCACAGTTCCAGGACCCTCCTGGCCAAGCAGCGGGTTAAAGCGCAGCACTATGAAGCTGTCACAGCCACTGCAGCATCTGTCCCTGCCCCAAAGGTGACCCACATGGTACGGCAGACCTCTCCTGACCTGCCCGCTGCTCCCCTCAGCAGTGTGCTTCGTTGATCTGCCTGTTCTGCTCCCCGCTCTGTCTCTGGTGAATCCTCTCACCTTCTGCATCTCTGGCCTGTACCCCAATTCTTGTATGCATAAATAACTCATTCTTTAAAAAAAAATTACAGCTCCAGTGTCATTTCACCGATTATCTGAGGCTTTGTGTGCTGGGACTTCCATGACCCTAATGTCGTGTTTGCTGCTTGGGGCGCTACATCTGTTTCCTTTGTGTCACCTTAGGATGACAGGGCATAACCATGGCTCTTACTCGTCACGCATCTGCAGGTAGTCTGGGGCCTATCCTGAGCACTGCCTGACACTTCCGGACTCACTAGAGGGTCATACCAGCCTTTTGGGTGGGCCCTGTTGTTCTGTCCATGTTGCGGTAGGAGAAACCGGCAGCAAAAGTTAATGAACATGGCAGGGTCCCCTGGCTAGAGGGTCGCAGAGCCTGCACTTGAACTCCAAGCCCATGTCCTGACTGCCGGCTACTTCTCTTTCAAGTTTATAGTGTGTTTTTGCTCAGTAACAGTTAATATATATTTTTAAGATTTATTTATTTATTCATACAGAATTGGGGTACAGGCCAGGGACACAGGGACGGTGAGAGGATTCACCAGAGACAGAGCGGGGAGCAGAACAGGCAGATTGACGAAGTACACTGCTGAGGGGAGCAGCGGGCAGGTCAGGAGATGTCTGCTATGCCATGTGGGTCACCTCTGAGGCGGGAATCGAACTCACACTGAAGCAACTGCTGCCCACTTGCTGTCCTGTGCACCAACCCGCTGCGCCACCAGGGAGGGCCACAGTTAATATTTTAATGCACAACAGGAGGGCTTTTGCAAACCCAAATAAAGCAATAGCCATTTACCTCCACTGATGCTGTGTTTCTTAATTTCTGTTGACCAGTTATTTCTTCAGCCCATTAGATTGCTGATCTGGCTTCTCAGGAGAAGTGGTCCATTGGGTTGGATCATTTCTGTGACCTGAGAATAAATATCCATTCACTTCATTCAAGAAACCCGATTGTATTAGTTGTTTGTCTTAATAAATAGTGGACTTTATCTCATCTTTGAAAGCCACTGGCCTTATAGGGCTTGCCTGGCCTATCTGTTTTATGGTAGCAATAATTTGTAAAATGCTTTCATCCATGAAAAGCCTAGCCCAAGCGAACCTTTTCAGGTGTCAAGAGTTGAGCCTTAAGCCAGTGGTTCTGCGTCGCCCTGTCTCACTCTTCCTCCGTCCACACACACACGGGCCCCCTCGCTCGCTGCCACACAGGGAAAGGCGTGAGCCAGATGCAGTGGGGACTCTCTTGTCCTTTCAAACTTGAGTGCTGAGTTCATGTTCCTCACAGGAGTCGCTGTCATCACGCGATCTTTAATCACACAGTGTATTTCATGTTCAGTCTGATATAGCCCCAAGTAAACACGTGGCGTGGTAGCTTTCCAGTAGGATGGCCTTATACTTAAAAAGTGATCCAGTGTTTTGTTTCCACTTATTTAATTTTCAGAAATTTTATTTCATGGCATCTGATTTTAAGTATCTTTGCTCCAATTTTCACATGTAGCTCAATTTCAGAGTATGTGTTGCTGTCCTTTTCTTTTCTTGCTAAAAATACTGACCTGTAACTTCATCTTCTGGTTGTTTTAACAAGTTTTATCTGCCTACAGGAGAATATTAAAAAGTGAGCCTCCATACCCCCAAGAGATGAGTGCTTTAGCTAAAGACTTAATTCAACGACTTTTGATGAAAGATCCCAAGGAAAGATTGGGATGTGGACCACGCGATGCAGATGAAATCAAAGAACATCTGTTTTTTCAGGTGAGTTCTGTTGGCCAGGTGGTTTTCCTGTGCTCTGCATCATCCTTCTTGGGGACAGAAGTGGAAAGGTCCCTTTGAGCTGGTTTTTCCCTACTTTCACATACATTCAATTTTTTTTTAAGACTTAAACCTTAGAGACCTGTGGGGACTTTTCTCCTAAGTAAAGCAGTGGTGGTTGCGGGGGGGTTACAGGGAATTGGGGAGTAGGCGGGGGATTATAATAGCCTTCAGCAACCTTGCTAATTGGCTAGTTTCTGCACCTGGTTTCCATTTCCGATCCCAGGACCCAGTTAGGAACTGAGGCAATTGTCACTGACAGTATGTTGCCTCCCTTGAGTGTCATAAGCTATAATATGCCCCTGTGTCTCTCCATTTTAGATAGTGATTATTTCATCAGCTTTCTCTAGAAGAAATCGCAGAAAATTCCAAATCTACTGTTTTCTCAGGTACATACCTGTCACATGGAGGGAATTAACTTAATTTTTACTTGTGGCAATGCTTTTCTTACTCTGAAAAAACAATGAAACCATTGTACAGAGCACCACCATATCTGTTCGGTTTAGTCCAAAAAACACCCTCAAATTACCAAAATGCTAAATAAGTGGAGAAAACCAGCTGAATTGACTACTTATATCAGTCTAAACAATCAGACCTCAGTGCCTAGACCTTGATTTCTAAAACTCTGAACTTAGGACTTTTAAGTAACTTAATCATATTATGCTCTAAAGGGATTATCCACGTTTCCTTTTATTCTGCACACTGAGTGTTCACATGATTACCCAAACAATGGTACAGCCGAAACAATGGAAAAAGCCTGCTACTTGCATGTTGTTTATTATATGGAGAAAATGATGATTGAGAATGAGTGCTCTCTCCATCTAAAAAAAAAAAAGGTCACTCTTACTTCAATCGGTAGGTGTAACCATTTTTTAAAAGATTCTATCCATTTTACAGAAGTTCAGTGAAATCGGCAAGAAATTTCACTTATAATAAATTAAGTTTCTCAGTGTTTGCACTTATTTCATAGATTGACATGCTGTGGAAAGGTTAATACTTGAACAAAATATTTCAAATACCATGTTCAAACATTTGGCATAAAAATTAAGAGTAAGGTAAAATTAAAAAAAAAATGCGAGCAAAATAAAATCCCAGTTATATTTTCCTAGAGTCTTCTTCTCCATGACCTCTGTATTTATAGATACTGCAGTGTATCTTTCCTATTTGGGGAGATTTTTCTTTTCCTTGCTTGGGATAGTAATTTTAGATTACTTAATTGCCTTTTGACTTTTTTTTTTAAGATTTATTTATTTATGAATACAGAACCGAGGTACAGGCCAGAGGTGCAGGGGTGGTGAGAGGGTTCACTGAAACAGAGTGGGGAACAGAACAGGCAGATTGATGAAGTACACTTCTGAGGGGAGCAGCAGGAGAGACAGGAGAGGTCTGCCACGCCATGTGGGTCACCTCCGGGGCCTGGGATCGATCTCGCACTGAAGCAGCTACAGCCAACTTGCAGTGCTGTGCTCTAACCTGTTGGGCCACTCTAACCAGTGGCCTTGACTTTTAATGATGGGGGTGCTTTAGGAAAGGCCAGACTCTCCTTGTAAAGACCTCAAAAGAGGAGGTACAGAGAATCCCATCAGCATTCAGTTTTCCATATACTAAACCTAACAACACCCTTAAGTTACCTCTGTACTCCAGTGGTTTCTCTTACTGCGTGTCCAGTGGCCAGAACAAAGCAAGGTTGAAACAGGAAACATTCCAACCACGTAGTGAAAAGGGCATTCACTAGACAGTCCACGTTAGAGCCCTGAGCCTTCCACTGATGGTGTTAAAAGGTTAACACCTTTCATACTTATAATTCCACTTGGAGCAAATAAATGTGATGAACTACAGGATCCCTAAAACCCATTCTAGCAGTAAATTTTGAAGATCCTCCACCAGAGGGCATCATGAAGGCATTTTGTTAGTTGAAATGTAAGGAAGTATCAGTCTCAGCATTGTACTCTCTGAAATCATTACGCTCGTAGGAGGAATGGCCTCTTAACTCTTTTACTAAGTAATGTGTTTTTTCATGGCACATAAGATGATGGCATATTTTACTATCGGTGCTGACGTTTGGAGAACTACATTAATGGATAACTATTCAGTTCCGTGGTTAGGATCTAAGAGGTAAAGTGACAGGACTTAAAACAGCTTTTCAGACTGTGCGTGTCTGGTGTGGAGTCTCCTGTGACCCCACGAGGGAGAGAAGAGGCCCTGTAAAGTGCGTGGGCCCTGCTGAATGATGCAGCGCTGCGATACTCTTGAACAAGCGCACGGTTGCTAATGAGGCTTGTTTTGGCTCAGCACCTCTCTCAGGAGACTTGTGGCAAGCGTTTTTTATCCCTGTGGGAAAGCTGGGGTGCCCTGGTGCCCCCCGAGAACAGCAGGCCTCCCCGGGCAGGGGGGTGGGGTGGACAGCAGGCTCGGCTGTCAGACACGGCGTTGGCAGGACAGTAAATGTGCACGGCCGCCCATATACGTGTATCTCTGTAAACCATTGGTCTGGTAGAGGTGCGTCCCCTTTCATCAGCAAAACCAGAAAGAGCTTCATTTTTACAATGTAGACTGCAACTTCGAGATTTCTGTACTGTACCAATTTTTTTGTTTGTTTGTTTTAGAACATACATTGGGATGATTTAGCCGCCAAAAAAGTGCCTGCGCCTTTTAAGCCGGTCATCCGAGATGAGTTAGACGTGAGTAACTTCGCAGAAGAGTTCACGGAGATGGACCCCACCTACTCCCCGGCGGCGCTGCCTCAGAGCTCGGAGCGGCTGTTCCAGGTAACGCGTGTGCGTGCGCGCGTGCGCGGCGGCCTCCCGGGTGAGAGGCTCCCGGTGAGAGGCTTCACCAGAGACAAAGTGGGGAACAGAACAGGCAGATCATGAAGTACACTGCTGAGGGGAGCAGCAGGCAGGTCAGGAGAGGTCTGCCGCGCCATGTGGTCTCCTCCGGGGCAGGCGGGAATCGAACTCATGCGGAAGCGGCTGTAGATTCTCAGTGCTGTGCTTTAACCCGCTGCGCCACCAGGGAGGGCTTCTATTGCGTTTTTTTTTTTTAATACGGAATACAATACTATCTGGTGAAGGATAGAATTGGACTTCAGTGGTGAACTTAATGCAGTGTGATGATGTCACCGTGTAGGTTCATGTATGTGTTTACGTGGGAGGGTGCACATCTGGAACATGTCATAGAATGTGACTTCAAATTAAAGAACTAAATTTTGCCTCTATTCATGTATAATATTCTTTTGTTGGTAGGCAGTGTTCTAAGATTCTTTCTCTTCCATGAGGAATCTGAAAAATGATTGAGAAGGTTTCTAGGAAGACTCAAACTGAGAATAAAATATTCTATTAAATGACATTATCGCTTCACTTCTCTGACTCCATAAACTGGCCACGCATCTGGTTCGGTCTGGCCATCCAGCTGCTATCTAGTGTGTCCATTTCATACACCACTGATGTCCAGCTCGTGGCTGGCACTGAGGTGTTTGGAAAGTACTCATTGAACCATGGAGTGGTCTGGTTCGAACACAGTAGTCACCTGTCATTATACCACTTTTGGTTCAGCATATTATCCCGCCGTTGGATTTTATTCCTTTTTAAATATCAATTTTTTAGTTTATTTTTTATAAAGGGCTAAATAGATGTCAAATAATTGCTAAATTAGAAAATAAGTATGACGAACTTATATAAAAATGAAGATAAGTATAAAAAGACTTGTTTTTCTAGTTTGAAAGCCAGTAACACTTGCCTCATCATTTATACCTAGCTCTACCTTTTTTGAGAAGTTAGTTGTCTGTAAACAAACTTTTTTTTTTAGCAATGCAAAAGCATTATAGTTCTGAGTCAGATACTGGGGGTGGACCAGGAGGGTGTATTTGTTGCCTTTAATTCTGAATTGGGTTGATTCCACCAGAAGATGGCAATATCTCCTTTGAAAAGCATCTTTCTACTGCATTGAGATAACCCTGCATTTTGGATGACAAAATGAGATTCATGTTAACAAATATTCAAATGTTTTTCATTCTTTTCTCAGTTAAAAGAAAAAATGTTACAATCTCATTAGAGCTACACTAGAAAACAACAGCTCCTTACACCGCTCCTTTTCTTTCTTAGGGCTATTCCTTTGTCGCTCCGTCTATTCTGTTCAAACGCAATGCGGCCGTCACAGACCCCTTTCAGTTCCATGTGGGGGCAGAGCGTCCCGGAGTGACGACCGTCGCCAGGAGCGCGATGCTGAAGGTACATCCATTGGTTAATTAAATCACCTGTTTATGGCTTAAATTCCAGCACTAATTAATGTTTTCAAGTTCAGTAAATGTAATAGGCTTACCATTCAACCGTGATGAAATTGACCAAAATGAATAAATGGAAAGAGCAATATTTGTCAGAGGTAATTATTAGCATCAGTTTGAATGTGCCCTTTTGTCAGTAAGAGAAACTTGTTTATCTTAGGTAATGATAGAAATGGAAATAGATTTGAACTATAAAGTAAGATGAATTTTAGAAGATTATACTTGAAATTCCACTCAGATTTATTACCACTAATGTTCTGTCCATCTGTGTTTTATTACCCCTGTGTGTTACTAATACTTCCCTTTTATACTCAACATTTTATTTTTTTCTAATATTTTTGTATTGCGGCACTGGGCGTGATTTAGAGGCCTAGACCACACCCTCCGGCACCTTACAAGCTCCATGTAGGCACCTGCGGTCTTCCCCAAGACCTTCGTGTCCCTCCAGCTAACTTAAATGATGTTGGCTTCTTATCAGGACTCTCCATTCTACCAACACTACGACCTAGATCTGAAGGACAAGCCCTTGGGAGAAGGAAGCTTCTCAATTTGTCGCAAGTGTATTCACAAAAAGAGTAACCAAGAGTTTGCAGTCAAGATAATCAGCAAGAGGTGCGGCCATTTCTGGTAGTCTCCAGATGTATTCGTTAAGATTTCCGTTTTAAAGTGAAAGTTGTGAATAAGGCTCTTTGGCCACAAACATAGCCGGTCAGCTCATCAGTTAATCCATTACATTTCTGACTCTAATAAATATTTTCTGATAAAGTAATCCATCTGACACAAATCATAACGCAATATGCGTCTGAGTTTATTAGGAGGAAACTTTCTTGAGGCTGTTTGTTCAGACTTGCTCAGTGATTCTGCACCTGTCATTCCTGTTAGTTACACAGTCGAGATGCTTCTTTCTGAAAGGATGCAGCAATCTGCTGGTGGCTTGGAGAGCAGCTTGTTGTTTCAGTAACTGATTATTACCTCCATGATTATATATTCTTGTTACCAAATTGCCAGGCAAGTAGGGCATCATTTCTTCATATGATTAGCTCTTTTCTGACTCAGAAGAATCATTTTCTCAAGGATAACGCATCCCTTGTTCTGGTGGGTGACTCAAGACTGGCATACTCTGTGCAAAGCTGTAAATATGATTCTGTGCTTTGCCTCTTAGATTCTGAATACATTCTAGATAAAAACAAAATCAGGACGAGGGCGATATTGACATAAAAACTTGGTGAGAGGTATGAGGATGCTAACTGCCGCATCTTGCAGGATGGAAGCTAATACTCAGAAAGAAATAACAGCTCTGAAGCTCTGTGAAGGACACCCCAATGTCGTGAAATTGCATGAAGTTTTTCATGATCAGGTATTCCACATTTTTTTCTGTGCATATTAATTCACACATAAGATTTTACTCGTTAGTTTGTGGGCACTGCAGAGTCAGAGTCAGGGATATGAGGAACGAGAAAGCCCCCTGACACCCCCCCCCAGCCCCCAGATCAGTACATCCTCCCAGCCGCCCTCCCTCCCTCACCAGAGTCACAGACTCACAGGGCCCGGGCACTGCCGCCAGCTGCATCGCGCTTACTGCCAGTTTGCTGCCCTCCCCCCCCCCGTGGCTAATCCCACCCACCTCTCAGGACTCAGGATTTCCAGCCTTCCGCTTTCTTTTCTAGAGTAGAGTTTGGAGTCTTCAGTGCAAGCTAAGGAGCAGGCGGGAAGCAAAGGGCAGAGCTTCCCTTTCATGCTCGTCTCCAGGCCGAGCCGCCTGCTGCTCCCGCCCGCCGGCCCCAAGAAACCCAAGGGGGAAGGGGGAAAAAATGTCATGTGCCAAGTTCATGGGTCTCTCCACCCCCTCCACTGCCATGTTCATGGCACAAATTGCTCCATTACAGTTCTCGCTTCCCTGGAAGACTGGGGGGGAGGCGGGGAGAGGGGTGGCACAGTCGTTCTGGAGACGGTATGCAAGGCGCAAGAGCTGACCCCAGTCCTGACTTCACCAAAGACGACACTGAGATCCAGAAGTGTCATCAGACTTCACACATCAAGACAGTGAAAATCTAGTAGGCAGGACCTGGTCTCCAGTTCTGGGCTCTTGGAACTGTGCTGCTGTGGCATCCGGGTCCCAGCTAACTGTGACCTGTTTCGCTACCACATGGACATTTCCCAGAGTGCTGTGGTCAAGAAAGGTCACTCTCCCTGCTGTCATTTATCACCATGTACCCATGTGGACCAGATGCTGCAGCCTGTCGATCTTAGTCAGTCCTTCTAGTAACTATGAGGCGAACGTCCTAGAAGTCCCAAGGTCTTCTGGCTTGTCAGTGGTAATGCTGGGGTCTGAGCCCTAGAAGCATCCAACTTCAGGACAAGCTTTTAATTACCCTGCTCTAGTGCCCTCGGGGAGGTGGAAACACAGCCAGGTTGTCACATTAGTTGAGTGAGCAGCCAAATCCACCTCACCGTCCCCTTGCCCTTCAGCCCTCCTCATCCAGAAGGAACATCTTGAAGTCGGGACTGAGGGAGAGCAGTGCTCCCTGCTCCTCACTGCCTCAGTGGGGGAAGGAGTCCCCTGTGCACTGCAGGAGCTTGAGGTTCCTGGCCGGTCTCCTTGGTCGGTGACACCTATCTGTCAAGGAATTGCCACAGGAACTTCCAACACTCCTCTGTTTGCAGCTGTGCCACAACCTGGATTCAGACAAAGACATTCAGACTCTGACCTTTAGGCTGATACCAGATCTCTGGAACTGCATCCTTAATTTTTTACTTGCCTCAAGTTAAATTTATTATTTGCTAGTTTTATATTTAAGAGTTACCACAGTATATATTGTCTGTGATGTAATCCCATATGTACTAGCCTAAAGATATGGTTGTTTTATGTTATGTTTTTGAAAATGAGGTGGTTTTAATTACAGAAGATAGGCCCGATAGAAGTTCTTTTTATAATTTATTAATTTATATATATTTTTTACATCACTGCTCATTTTTGTACAGTGATTGTTTTCTCCTCTCAGGTGTACTCCTGTGAAATTCCCACCAGCTCACCAGTGCACCATCACCATAGTCCCCTGTGCTCTTCCCTCCCCATTTTTATCCCTCCAGCCCAAAGTATGTCTCTGATTTATGGTTGCCTGTTTTTTTTTATTTATTGTTGTTACTTTTTTTTCCTGATTCCTTCCTTGGTTCCCCTGTATTTCTCTAATAAGTGAAACTATCTGTTTTTCTTTTTTCCTTTTGGCTTATTTCACTGAGCATAATCCCTTCCAGCTCCATCCATGTTGTTGTGAATGGCATGACTTTAACCTTTTTCATTGCTGAGTAATATTCCTGTGTGTGTGTGTGTGTGTGTGTGTGTGTGTGTGCATTGTGTGTATATACATATACATATACATATACACCACATCTTCTTGATCCAACCATCTATTTTCAGCATCTGGGTTGTTTCCATATCTTACCCATTAAAAATATTGCTGCAATAAGCATAGGGAACAGGAAGATACTGTTATTTTAGTGTGCAAGTGTTGATACTTTGGGTGGTTTTCTGTAGTGGTGGCTCAGTTGCCTAGACCATTCTCCAGTCCAGTCTTCTTTCCAACTGATGGGGGAAGTTGAGTGAGGGTGAGTCTTTAGCCTGTGACACAAGAGTTTCCTTTACTCCTGAATAGGAGTAGAAGTACAATACTAAGAGGAGGAATAATGCTGTAACAAACTACCACAGACTCAAGCAACACAGATGGACTGTTTTACAGTCTGGAGACAGAAGCCATTATCAGTGCCACTGGAGAAGTCAAGGTGTCTGCAGGGCAGGCTCTAAGGGAGACAGTCGCCTTTCCTGGCCTGTGATGCTTCCACCATTGCTCCATCTCTTACTTCTGTAGACCCATAGATGGATAATCAGATGCTCTTTCTACCTCCGGCTCCTTAATCACATCTGCAAGGCCCTTTACTTTATACGGTACCAGTCGCAGCTTCTGGGGATTAGGGCACAGACCTCTTTGGAGGCCCCTTCTCTGAGCTGCCATGTAATGTTTCCTGTTGTTTTCTTCATGTCACTGCTAAGGGCCCTAAAGTTCATGGCAGTAAAGGAACATCTCAAGATCATAAGTAGCAGAATTGGCATTCAGGTCCATTTTGACCAAAAGCCCCTTTTATTTTTGTATTTGATCTTATATTAAAGGTTGCTGTATAAACTTGTGGCTGAGCCTCAACCTTGAGCTTATTTGTCTGGTGTAGAAATTCAAAATAGCTTCATCTCCTGTAACCTGGAACCAATTGTCCTATTAAAAGTTTCTCCCTTTCGGGCCCTCCGTGGTGGCGCAGCCGGTTAGGACGCAGCACTGCAAGCTGGCTGCAACGGCTTCAGTGTGAGTTCTAGCCCCAGCCCAGGAGGTGACCCACGTGGCGTGGCAGACCACTCCTGACCCGCCCGCTGCTCCCCTCAGCAGTGTACTTTGTCGATCTGTCTGTTCTGCTCCCTGCTCTGACTCTGGTGAATCCTCTCACCATCCCTGCACCTCTGGCCTGTACCCCAGTTCTGTATGCATAGATAATTTTTTTTTTAAGTTTCTCCCTTTCAATTTGCTCATTAGAGCAGGTCCCTATATATAAACATTTTTCTCTGTATTTTACTCATTTTTAAGGAAGCATTTTATTTAGTTTATTGAGTGTGTGCTGGTGCTGTAATGTGTAGCCCCCGGATCTGATTTGGTGTCTGTTGACTTGAATATCTATTTGGTAACTTTTTGATATATCTTTTTTAAGGATTTATTTATTTGTGCATACAGAACTGGGGTACAGGCCAGAGGCTCAGGGGTGGCGAGAGGCTTCACCAGAGACAGAGTGGGGAGCAAAACAGGCAGATCAATGAAGTACACTGCTGAGGGGAGCAGCGGGCGGGTCAGGAGAGGTCTGCCGCACCATATGGTCACCTCCGGGGCAGGCGGGGATCGAACTCATGCGGAAGTGTCTTTAGATTCTCAGTGCTGTGCTTTAACCTGCTGCGCCACCAGGGAGGGCCCTTGATATCTTTTTTAACCCATTTGTGTTGATTTGAGAACTGTTATAATTCGTTTGCTTTTCAATAGCTTTTTCATTAGCTTCTTTATGGAAATGTACACAAAGCATAGTAGATACACAACTTGTGTAACTCTTCAAGATAATGCCATTGGTATCAAAAGCAGTTGTTTGAAAATACACACAGTGAGTTCTGGGTGTTTTCTGGGGGTGGAGCAGACTCTAAAGCCCGTCTGATGGGCCCCAACAGGAGGCTCAAAGTGACGTAATCGAACAGTACTTTTTCCAGAAGGTAAATTCCTTTGTGTGGTGTGTCAGGCCCCTGTCCCCCAGAATCCACTTAAAACAGAGGATTTCATGTTGTTATCAGCCCTAGGTCCACTTTAAAAGGGAAGCTATGTAAACTTAATAGAGTTGGAAAAGAATTCACATGAAAGAATTAGTCAAGGAAAAGATATATAAAGATTTTGCTGCAGTACTTGAAATTTTCCATGACCGAAATAGAATTCTGAAACAGCCGCCATCCTTCCACTCTCTCAAAGACAAAGATGGCTGTGGATCATTTTAGCGGGAGATTAAATTTGTTGGTGAGGCTTAATAGCCAGTGCTTTAGACTCGAATGAGCTTGTGCTCCTACTCATGCCGGCCTTTGCGACATCCTGTGTCCTAGCTTCACACGTTCCTGGTGATGGAACTCCTCAAGGGGGGAGAGCTGTTCGAGCGCATTAAGAAGAAGCAGCACTTCAGCGAGACGGAGGCCAGCCACATCATGCGCAGGCTCGTGTCGGCCGTGAGCCACATGCACGACGTGGGCGTGGTGCACCGGGACCTGAAGCCCGAGGTAGCGTGGACGCCCGCGGGGAAGCAGCCCGCGTCGCCTTACCGCCCCCGAACTGTGTGGCTCGCCTTTCGTTTTCTGACTTTTCAGAGCTTTCTGCTAAGAGAGACTTGCATATGTTATGTTTCTTGCACTTTTCTCCTCTCTTTCCGCCTGGATTTTTGGTTTTGGGTGTTTTTCTGTGTGTTTGTTGTTTTGCCAGCTGATCATCTCAAGTTTTTATTTGTAAGTGTGAGAGCCTTTTATGGAAGAAATACTTTGTGAAACAGTTGTAGACTAAAAATAGAGGTGGAAATTTCTGTGGCAGAAAGCAACAGCATGTGTAGGTATACCATAGCGGAAGCATTTTTCAAGTGATGTCTTTTGAAAGCTTACTTTTCACATTTATAATCAAACTGATTAGCTCATGAATAGGAATGTATGTAATTCTATTCCAAAAATTTCAGCAGAAAGAATGGTGGTGGCTCAACTAGGTATTCCAGACGTACGTACATGTGCTTTTCTTTGCCTGTGTACTCTGGTATTTGTAGAACTGTATAGTTACACAGAAGTGGCAGCTTTTTATATGTTGTTTCAAAGGTTAATAAAGGAGGTTATAACTCTAGAAGGATCCCTGTTTAGCATCCAAACTCCAAATTCCTGTTTTACGAAATCATCCAAATAATAATGAAAATTAAAGCACAAACCCTGATAATTTATAAAAGGATAACAGTGAATCATCCTTTACCATATGCAACATTATACATATTTCCGCTCTAAAATAGAACTTCATTTTTAATTACCATGTGATTATAATGCTCTGTCAAGTATATTTAAAGTAGTTACTTATTTGGGTATTTTTTTTAGTGTTAGACCTCAAAGGATCATTTCTCAAAAAACACCATTGCTGACTTTTATGAAAAGATCTTGGATTATTGGTAGTCACGGGAGGTTTTTTAAATTGAATGCTGTACACTCAAACATAACTGAGGCTCCTGAGGTATTTAAATTTCTGACTGTACTTTCTATTCCTGGTGTCCGTATTCCTCATAATTAATCAAAAGCGAATTGTGGTTTCATGAACTCCCTTTGTGGTTGCTACCCCTCTGCTTCCTTCATCATAGTTCTCACTCTCCTACGTAACACCCACTGAAAATATGGTGCCCTGTACATTGGAGATTAGCTGCTTGCTTTTAAACGTGAAAGCACACCGCTTCAGTGTTTTCTTGATAGACAAGGAACAAGCCTGCAATTTTTTTTAAAAAAACTTGTTCTGAGGCAGCATAGAGTTCATTTTCACGTGTTTTATTCTCTGGTAACTGGCCATCTGTCATCTCCTGAGTCTCAAATGATGCAGAAATTGACATTTGAGTCCCTCTTTTACTAATACAAAGATACTCATCTAGCCTGATCCTTCTTTGTTATAAAGCCTTTCTTTGAAATAGTCACTTGAGATGAGGAATTGTCAGGTTACTTAGGACATTCTTCTGCAGTTACAATTCTAGATCAAAATGTATTTTGGAGAAATGAAAAATGTACCTGTGTGCTAACATTTTCATAATAAAATAGCTTTCACTTTGACTTTGAATGGCAGAGTATACTATTTCCATATTCAAACTTTAATCCTTTTCCCATTGATATAGCACTTTAAGATCTGTTTATATATCTTTAGGTAGACAGTTTTGTAGCATTCACTTTCTGCATAGGCAAAATTCTAGCATCTAGGTGAGAATCAGATATATTTAGAAGCTGACTGACAGTGTTAGTAGGTGGCTTTGTATTTTTCAAATGGGTTCCCATTCTCTTGAAAGATCAAGAAAAATGATATCAAGTTAGTTTGCAGCAATTTGAGACAAGGAGAAAAGGGGGTTGAATGGTTCCTTCCTCCCATTCACCACCCTGCACATCAGCGCCCCCTAGAGGTAGGAAGAGCAGAGACGTGAGCCCCTTATCCCCTCCATTTGAAGGTCTAAGTCAAGGAGACCTTCATGGGTACAGAATAAACTGAAGTCAATTGCAAAGACTTAGCAGGCGGGGTGAGACTGGGTTGGGGCTTCCCGTGTGTGCTGTTCAGGGAGCACCCGAGGGCCCAGGGTCCCTGCTCAGAGGCTTCCCCAGGCTCACGCTAGAGAACCACGGTTAGCTTCAGTAGTGCCAAAGCCTTGCATTGAAATATATCCACGTTTTAAATCCTTCACACACACAAGATTAAGCTCTGTATGATAGAGATTTTAAGAAACCTTTTCAGTTAGTTTTTTTTGTTTGTTTGTTTTCTTTCCTCCCACTTTGTTCATTTTTAACTTTTGAATGGAACACTTTAATGTTTTCTACTTTGTACCACTGAAGCTTTCTATGATGTCTTTTATTACTGTTAGGGTAACAGTAATCCAGTAAATGATGTTCCAGAGCTGGAAATAATTTAATGAACAGAAAGGCATAACATATTTTTTTGGTAGTCTAAAAGCAATATAAACCACATATATTTACTGTGGCTACTAGCTTGATGTACTGATAAAAATTATGTTTAGTGCTGCAATCCAATTAGCATTCAGTAAGCATGTGATAACACAAAAAGTCATACTCAGTAAAGCCTTCGTGACTAGAGAGTCTTGATGGGGGCCCTTCCTGGTGGCCCAATGGGTTAAAAGACAGCACTGTGAAGCTTGCAGTCTGCTTCAGTGGAAATTCAATTCCAGGCCAGGGAGCTGACCCACAGGGTGCAGCAGACTTCTGTCTCCTCGCTGCTCCCCTCAGCAGGCTATTTCTGTCAATCTGCCTGTTCTGCTCCCCACTCTGTCTCTGGTGAATCCTCTCACCACCCCTGTACCTCTGGTCTGTACCCCAGTTCTATGTGCATAAATAAATAAACCTTTTTAAAAAAAAAAAAAGCCTTGATGGATGGAGGACTCAAAATCACAATGTTTTCTGAATAATTAGGTGATAAATGTTTGAGCATTAACTATTTTGGAGTGAATATTTCTTAAATGTAGTGCATGCTTCCAAGTCTTCTTTAATAGTCTATCCGAGATGTCATTTAATTATTTTTATAACTTCACTCAGTCAGCAAATGTTTACCAAAGCGCCTGCTACATGACATGACTGCACCAGGCCCCTGGGTAGAGTATTGAATGAGATAGTTACAGTCCCTGCCCCTGTGGAATTATGGTCGCCGGGGATGAAGACACTGAACCACTAGTGCAGATACGTCCAGGAAGGACAGGGCCAGAAAGGAAAGCAAATGCCGCTAGAGCATAGAAGGATGTGTGACTGCAGCTTGGAGGAATGGTTAGGTCGGGCTCTCTGAGTGAACGGGGGTACACGTGAGCCAGTGACAGTGGAGCTTGGCAGAGGAAGGGAGGCAAGAGCAAGCAGAGGGGAAAGCAGGGGCCAGGGCCTGGCGCTCCCGAGGCCCAGCGCGGGTGACAGGCGCCGTGTGACCTCATAAAAGGGAAATTTTAGAGCTAGAAGAACGCAAAGGAGGTACAGGCAGGGGACAGCCCCGGACCTCCTGCCCCAGGCTCTTCCCTGCTCCAGTCCAGTGTCACGTCGCAGACACATACTGGCTTCTGCTGCCTGCCCCAGCTCCCAGGATATTTTAAGGAGAAGCTAACTGAGGTGTCTGTACCTTGCAGAACTTACTGTTCACTGATGAGAATGACAATTTGGAAATTAAAGTCATCGATTTCGGGTTCGCGCGGCTAAAGCCCCCCGATAACCAGCCCCTGAAGACGCCATGCTTCACTCTGCATTACGCCGCGCCGGAGCTGCTCAACCACAGCGGCTACGACGAGTCCTGCGACCTCTGGAGCCTGGGCGTCATCTTGGTGAGTCACCTTGGGGCGCCCGGAACCTGGTGTCCGCTGCTCCCGGCTGTGTTCCTTAGGTATGTGCGAAATCTAGGCAACTTGGTTTCTTTTCTATGAAACCAACAGCTGGCGGAGCCAAAGCTATTTCCCTCTCTTCAGACTGACATTGGAGCAATGTAGGACTTTTTACTTCGCGTCTTTGCAGCTCCTTGAGGAAGCTGAGTTCTGTAAGAATAAGAGATCCATATTTTCAGAAGATACTCAGATACTTTGTGAACGTAGCAAAGTGACTTCAGTAGGAAAACATTTAAACATACGCCAAGAGTTCCAGACTGAAAATATAGCTAAAGAGTGTCATTTAGGCTAAGTGAAAAAAAAAAAAAATTAATAGGTAAAATGAGAGCTATTTGTAGTAACTTATAGTAACCACGGAGGCTTGCTGCTCACAAAATGTCCTTGCCTGCCATGATGAGAAAAAGAACATGAAGCTTGAAAAATCTCAGCATGTTTCTTTCTTCTCAAAATAGCTTTACTTTTTCTGCATATAATTTGTAACGCATAATCTTAGGAAGAAAATTTCAGACAATACAGAAAGATCTAAAGAACAAAGGGTGATCTCTTGTCATCTCCTCACACAGAGATGGCGCTCTGCAAACTCTCGCCGGTAGCCGTAGCTACTGCAACACATTCTGGGTGCTTCATGTGTTGCAGGTTCTCTATATAGGTGTATATATTTGGATTTTTAAACAACTGAGATTATATTACACATGCAGTTTGATTCTCCAAAATTTATTTCAACCTAATGAGCAGTTAACATTTTCCAGATTTTCACCTATTTTAAGCTGCACATAACAAAGACGTGTGTGTGTGTGTGTGTGTGTGTGTGTGTGTGTGTGTGTGTGAGCGCGTTCAGATTTATCTCATTTCCTTAGAATAGCCTCCTTGGAAAGGCCATACACAGCTGTATTTGGATAGATCTGCCTGGATTTCCTTTTAGAAGTTCTGCAGGTAGCCGCGCCTGATTGGATGCTATCCATTTTACTCTTCACTTATATCCCCAGTTATTATCATTTGCATGCATTTCTTTGATGAATAGTCCACCTTTCCAAGTATTTGGACATTTTTATTTTCTCTTCCATGAATTGCTGTTTATGAGCTTTGGCCATTTTCCTGTGGGGAAATTTTCTCATTAAATTTTAAAGCTTTATTAAGGATTTTAATCTTTCTGTCTGCGACTAATATTGGAAATGTTTTTTTCTGCTTTGGCATTTGTTTGAAGACCTTGTTTTCAGTAACAGGGGTTTTAGTTTTGTTTTTATAAGGATTTAGATAAAGACTTTTCCTATGGAGTAAGTTGTGCTGGTCTTTTCCTTTCATTATCTGGCTTTGATGTCAGATTGTCATTCCACTCCTACCCCAGCCCAAAATTATAAAAATATTCTCCTAAGCTTTGCTCTAGAATTATATTTTATTTTTATACTTAAATCTGCACTCCATCTGGGAGTTATTTTGGGGTAGATTTGTTTCCCCCCAGTGACTAGCCAGTTGTCCCGTTAGGATGGCTATTACTTTATTTTTAAGCTTTACATGATTTTCATTTCAGAAACTCTTAAGCCTTCATTTATAATTTCCAAACTAAAATTACATGCTCATGAATAAGATGTTTTAAATAACAGTAACTAGCTTCTGTGGCTCTGAAAGTTTGTTTTAAAGACAAACTGATTACATCTTTATTAGTAGCATTCACTTAAAAATTAGTCAAAATAGGAAAGAGCTTATCATTTTTTAGTACTAACATGAGGTTACCTCTTATAAAACAGCCCTTACTTTAAGCATAGACCAGTTATAGTGAGCATGTCATTTAAGGTTTCAAAAGACAGTCTTAGCTACACAGACAAGTAATTTAGGCATGTTACATCTACAGAAGTGACTCTGTGTACTGGCATGCCCTAATGGGCCTTAAATTTTAAAAGATTTCATTGTCCAATTTGTAAGAAAAGTAGGCCACAAAGAACAGGTTAAATGATACAAGAGGAAGACCACAGCATCAACTTCTGATTCAAGCAAATCCAATTTCAATGCTAATCATAAATCATTTGGATATAATTGTGTGTGTATACATATACAATGTTATAGCACAGTTGGGTGTGAGAAGTTCTATAGAACCAGCAACCCAATTTCTCCAGCAAATAAAGGATAAGAAAACATAGGCTGGGAACCTATGGGCTAAGAGACACTCAAGAAACAGTGTTTTATATCTACATGCTATGTGACTTCTGATTCAAGCAAGTCTGATTTCAACTCGAATCATATATCACTTGGATATAAGTGTGTGTGTATGTGTACATATACAATGTTATAGCACAATTAGGAGGATTTGAATACTGGTTGGATAGTCAATGACACAAAGGAATTACTGCTTATTTTTTAAGTTTGATGATAGTATAACTGTGGTTTTTAAAAATCCTTAACTTTTAGACATAACTAATGAAATATACTTAAAAGTCAAAGTTAATACCTGCACAAAACTGTCAGAAGAGCTTCACAGACTTTTCCACATAAGTGACTCTAGCCCCAAAGGATTTATATACAAAACCTGAGTTACCCCATAGTAAACACAACATTTATCTAGGGTATACAATTTGTCTTAGAAATTTACTATCCTTTTGCATATTGCCTATAGTAAACATGAATGTGGATATTTCAATATGAAAATAATGTTACCCACACTGAATAAAACAAATGACCCAGGAAGATGCATTGTGTGGGATCCTGTGGCTTTGATTATAACCTAGCTTAACTCCCAGTTGTCAGTCCCTGGGTGTTCATTGATGCAGCCTGCATGGTGTCTGCTCAGCACCGCCATGCACCAGCGGGGGGCTGAGACAATAGGATACTTCAGGGCTGGGAAATCCAATATGAAGGCTTCAGTGAGGGTGGGACCGGTGAGAGCTTTCTCCTTGGGTTGCAAGCAGGGTCTGCTCCCCCTTGACCTTTCATGACCTTTCCTCAGTGCCTCTGCTGGCAGAGATTGAGCAAGCTGTGGGGGTAGCTTTTTTGTTTGTTTGGGGGTGGGGGACACTAGGTCTATTAGATTAGGATCCTACCTTTATGACCTCTTAATTTTAACAACCTCCATAATGGCCCATCTCCAGATACAATCACACTGGGGGTTGGGTGTTCAACAGAAGAACTGTCTGGACCTAGAAGCTTTCAGTCTGTAACACACAGCATTTAGGAAATGCAGGATGAGATTTAAGCCACCTCACAGGCATCGGTAACGTACCCGGTAGAGGGATATATTCCATTTAAAATCTATTTCTTCCACATGTTTTATTCAGGGGACCTTATTTCTTTACTTTTTTTCCCCAGATTTTATTTTTAAAATTTCAGATCTAGAGAAAATTTGAAAGCACGATACTGTGAACATCATTTCACCACATTTGCTTTTTCTCTTTTAGGTGCACAATCACTCTCCATATGTATGTGTGTGTGTCTGCACACACACACATATAATACATATGTATGGACACATGCATAAATAGATGTATATTTTTACCTACTTAGTTACTGTTTTCATCCACCACTTGCAAACACTTTGCAGACACAAAATTATTCTTAACAGAAGTTGATTCCTAAATGATGAACTAAAATGATAAGACCTTGGAGTTAAGAAAGGCTAAAGTTTGTTTAATTCTGCATCTTCCAGAAAGAGAGATCTTGTTTACACATTCCCTGATCACCAGTCACCTCTAAATATTGCCAAAGATTTAGAATTATTTTTTTCAACGAACAGCCTGTTGCATTATTACACATCAGAAGGTGAGAAACCTGCACTTCTCTCCCATATGTAGGAAGTCAGGTAAGATTAAGAAGTAGAGTGTATTTGGGGGAAAATTTTGGCAGTTATCTACTGGAAATACCCAGACCAAATGACCCAGCACTTCTAATTTTGGAAATGTACCCGACAGAAATATGTATTTTATGTCCCCAAAGATATCTACAAGTAGCATGTTTCAAACTCGAAATAAGCAAAAGGTTCATCATCACAATAAAAATCTTCCCAGTCTGGGTTCCCCAGAAAGCAAAATCTCAAGCAGAAGCTTGTGTTTACTCTGTTCCTAAGGAGGATAATCCCAGGGAAACAGGAGCCCTGGGGAAGGAGGGAGCAGAGCCTGCCCTGGGCACTTGCCCACTGTGGATACTGAGGCTGGCCATGAGCTCACAAGGCTGACCTTGAGCTCATGAGGCTGACCTTGAGCTTGCAGCATGAGACAGCTGGGCGAGCAGACCCATGGTGTAGGCAGGAGACAAAAATGTGGGTTGCGCACCACAAAATCCAGACACGGCATCTAGAAACTCGGTCCACACGCTGCCTTTCTACTCTTCTCGGGCAGTTTTCTTTCTCAGAAGGTCCAAATTTACCCCCAGACCTCTCGGTCTCTGGCGGCATGTGGGTGTCAGTTTCCCCTCTCGGGCTGGCTCTTCTTCCGCGTCATGCACCTTCTTGCTCAGGTTGTGTTGGCTGCTGTTTGATCACTTCCCCTTTTTCCTTCCCATGTTGCTATCACACCTTGTCTGGGAGTTTCCATCTCTGCCCAGAGCCACGCTGTCAGGGCCACGTCACCGTCCGTGTCCCCGCCACTAGTGTCTCCTTTAGGGCTGCTAAAGAAACAGACACTCTTGCATCTGCTCCTAACGCTTCGCTTCTCCTGACACCGCTACCCACCCACTCCTGGTATTGGGGTTCTTAGACTCCCGCCATTCACCTCCCATCTCCATGGGCCTAGATCTCAGCCAGCAGAGAGAAAACCCTCCAAGTATTTTAAAGAAGCACTTTCCAGAAATTCAGTCTCTGCTACAAAGATAAGCCTTAGCTCTTTACTTGTCCCGTGGGCTTTTGAAAGGGCAGAAAACTCAAGTATACATTTTCAAATACATGACTAAGATAAGAAACAGTCATGGCTATGGAGAATTCATTATATTTAGCACAACAATTAAAATGGGGATAATTGCACACAACATAGGAAGGCCTAATTACAAAAAATTCATGTTCCTTAGCCCTAGTTAATGTGCTAGGGAAGGATGTGTGAATTGGACAGGAAAGTAACGATACAGGTGCTTCTCCCTCAGTTTTCTGTGGACCTTGATCCCACCACTTCTGAAGCCATTGGATTCACTCCTTTTTGGTTCTTCTTTCTCTGCTGTAGTTACAGAAGTCACTTTAACTTGATGCACTAAGTTTTCTCACTTTATTTACCAACCTTTGAACCAGGCCGGGGCCTCAGTAATAGAAGCCACAAAATCCTCAAGCCCATGATGCCTGTTGTGTAGTTGGTAAATCAGGTCTGACGATGGCTGGGTGACTTGGAGCGGTTTGGAGTCACGCTGTTCTGTTTCTTCCTCTGCTGTCAGTATACGATGTTGTCGGGGCAAGTTCCGTTCCAGTCTCAGGATAAAAGTCTGACGTGTACCAGTGCGGTGGAGATCATGAAGAAAATCAAAAAGGGCGATTTCTCCTTTGAAGGAGAAGCCTGGAAAAATGTATCTCAGGAGGCTAAAGATTTGATCCAAGGTAAGAATGTAACGAAATTTGTATTTATGTGTGGCATGAGTGAAGTGGGATCACAGCCTCGCAGCATGTTTGTCTGTTCAACACTGGAGGAAGCTAGGAGGAAGCTCCGTGTGCGTGCTCAGATGTCCCAGACTTCTTTCCCATTCGCCATCAGAGCTCTCTCCTTGGGATCTTTAAACCACAGTCCGAGTCCGCTAACACTTGGACCCTCTCACTCCAGCACCTCCCAAATGAACCTGTGCTTTTGAACTATCCTTCTCCCCAAAACGTATCTCTTCTCTCCTTTTTTTTTTTTTTTGCTCTGCTGAGAGGCCAGGTCACCAAACAGAAACCTGGGCACTGTCATAGATACCTGCACCATCCTGGCCGCCTTCAGCCAGGGCTCAGTTCCGTCGGTCCAGCCCCTCCATTCACATGCCTGTCACCTTAGTTCTCGCCTAAAATCCTGCAGCGTTCTTTTAACCTGTCCGTTGATCTCATTAGTGACATTCCCAACATCATGTGACCATCCTTCTTTTCTATTAAAAGTCCATTAGCCCCCTCCCATAAATGGGAGAAAATATTTGCACATCATCCATCTAACAGGAGCTACCAAGAAATATACAATTCAACAAAAGAATGCATTCCGATGAAAAAGTGGGCAGAAGAGTCACACACACTTCTCCAAAGAAGACATACAGGTGGCCGGTAGCAGGTGAAAAAATGCTCGTCGTCACTTAGCATCAGGGAAAGGCCAAACACAACAGCGAATTAGTACGCTCGTGTGTGCCTGCCATGTGATCCAGCAGCTCTGCTCCTAGGCGTCCAGACAAAGAATGCGGAGACGCTCCAGGGCTGTCTACTTCCAGGGCTATTTACAGCAGCCCGGTCATGGAAATGGCCTAAAATGGCCTAAAATGCCCGTAAAAGATCATTGGGTAGGGAGGCGTGATATCTTCACATAGTGGAATACTACTTGGCTGTAAAAGGCGATGAAATCTCACCATATTTGACATCCTGGAGACTGAAATTTATGTCTGAGGTTGATTTTGAACTATGCTTGCAGTGATAAGTCATAAAGTAAAATACCTTACTCTCACAGGACTCCTCACAGTCGATCCAAATAAAAGACTTAAAATGTCTGGCTTGAGATACAATGAATGGCTTCAAGATGGCAGTCAGCTGTCCTCAAATCCTCTGATGACCCCCGACATCCTGGGATCTTCAGGAGCTGCCGTGCATACCTGTGTGAAAGCAACCTTCCACGTAAGGTCCCTGCCGGGCTGTGGAGGGCGGTCTGCAAGGGCTCAGATGCTCTCACTCTGGGGCTCAGAGGCCTACTCATAGTCATACATTTACAATAATGTGTTCTTTTAATTTTAGGTATGTTGTTATCTCTTCCTACTATAAATACATTTATAAACAGAAAGTACATGGGGGACCAGAATTACTGCTCACCCACAAAATATTTATTTGGCATTTAGAATGAGTCTGTGGCATAGTTGTCTGATGTTTGAATAGCTGAACATTTTCAGTAGGTCATAAAAATACTGCATAATGTTAGAGCTTTTTTTTCTCTCAAATGAGCTAAATCCTTTTCTGAAAACTATAAACATTAGAAACTGAGGCATGTGTGAAGTCCATTCAGCAGCTATTTTGTGCATGGTTCATTCTAGAGACTGAAGGATAGGAAGTTGATTGGTGCTGAGTGTGGATTATAGATTTGAACAACCAAGACTACGCAACAGTTACTATTAATATACTTTTTGGGCCAAGCGGATAGAAACGTATTAAGGTGGTTATATAAGTCATAGATGGGTTCAAGAGAAATAAAATGACCCCCGAAGGCATTCTCTGGAAAAAGGAGAAGGGAAAGCAGTTTCCTCTTCAGCTGCAGAAATGAATGAAAACATTAATGAACAAGACAGGTTGCCTTGTGAAGAGACAAGCTACAAGAATATATGACCTGCAGGCACCATCCAGATCTCCTCAGAGACTTCTGGTGCAAGGCTTTTAGGAGTAGCCACACCCAAACTTGAGGATGAGAAAAGTTAAGTGAGGCTGCTGTGAGGGGACACCAGGCTTGCAGGGTGAGGCTTGTGCATCTTGAGTCTGAGATCCATCCAGTTTGCATTGAGTTGGAAGCCAAGAGTGAGGACACACAGTAGAGTCCAGTCAGCTCTGTGCGGGCCCTTTGCAGTCAGAATTTAAATCCCAGCCACCAAACTAGTCAAAGTATTTGTGGGAGTTTGGGCTTGGGGGCCCAGAGATGGTTTCGACTGTGGATTTTCGTCAGGAATTTCCAGTCAGTTTTTCTTTATTGAGAGTTAGCACTACCTGCTTCCAAAATTTATAGTCATGACTTCTAGGCCCGTGCAGCTGGTTTGATTTAAACAGAAGCCTCAGAAACCTTCCCATGAACGTATGGACCTGCCAGAAGGTTTGGGGTTATGGTTTTAGACTTGGCTCCCTAGGCAACTGGAGCTGTAAAGTTTGCTAACTGACTTAGCTTCTGCTCTAAGTCATAACTGCTAAGAAAACCTCAGTCCTTTTACTTTCACGGGGGTTCCCTTTTTTCTCCCATAGGCCTTTAACAAATACAAGAGAGAAGGGTTTTGCCTTCAGAATGTCGACAAGGCCCCTCTGGCTAAGAGGAGGAAAATGAAGAAGACCAGCACCAGCACTGAGACCCGCAGCAGCTCCAGCGAGAGTTCTCATTCTTCCTCCTCCCATTCTCATGGCAAAACCACACCCACAAAGGCCCTGCAGCCCAGCAACCCTGCAGACAGCAATAACCCAGAGTCTCTCTTCCAGTTTGCGGACTGAGCAGTGGAGTCCAGCCGGCAGAGACGTCGCTGACCGCGCGTGCCCTCAGCACTCGCCCAGGGCCAGGCTTCTGCGCTACAGACCTGTCCCGTGGTCTCGTTGGAATCTGAATCTTAGGGAATTTTTTCAGGAAAACCCCATTGGTTGTCCTTGTCCAGAAGCACTGGCCCGAGAGCGTTACTGTGAAAAGAGCACAGCGCCTGTGGCGCGGCCAGCGTGAGGCCCACGGGCCGCCCTCACCAGAGCAGAGGGTCTGTGAGTGTCATTCCAGCTGGGCAGATTTGAGCTGCTTGCGAAAGAAGCCACAGGTTTTTCAGCCATCTGCCAGCCAGAGGCGGCCTGTGCTGTGAGGAGACCTCTTGCTTCCTTGTGGACAGTGTGGGCTTTGAAGAGATTTGCACTTGGTGATAGGAAATTTATCAGAGTAAAAGGTCTTGACTGTTTTCAAAAGATTCTGTAATAAATTTTATGTGTGGCATATACCTATTTCTTGAGAGAGGATTTTAACTTATTGTTTCTATTTTCTGGTTACATGGTGGTAACCTGCTATTATTAATGTTTTTCTAAAGAGAAAAAAAAAGAAAATATATGTAAGAACGTAAGATCCCACACACTATATTCGGGATACCTCTGAGATGCATGCTAAGCTACGTACGTTTTTAACTTTTGCACCGCTCTTTCCCAGTAATTGTTTTAATAGTTCTTGCAAAATACTGAGGTACATGTCTCTGTTTGGAGTAACATTGCACTTTATAAAAGAATATGAATAAAGCAAAATGTTTTATAAGGTGCGCTGTTTAAAGCATACGTACTGTATTTTTCCCACTTTTCCCATGATCCACATGTCCTCACATCCCCCTGTGCTTTGAGACAGCGAGTGGAACGGGCCGCATTCTAGAACTTACCATCAGCCACTTAGGCGCCATGTGAGCAAAACCCAAAGGGAAATTGGACTAACACTGTGCTTCATCTCTGTACACTGTGTTGTGCTACAGGGAGGCACTTCCTCCTGTAGCCAGATATTATGTACATAATATTTTAGAGTCAGAGCTATGACTTGCTTTGAAATTTTTCTGTTAACTTTTAAATCCAGAAGGCATATTTTATAAACTTACGCAGAGCACTTTTATTGCTTAAAAGTTCTGAGTTCGAACAGAAAAAACAAGTGATACACGATGAAGACATTTCACTGAAAGATTGCTGCATTTTAAAATATAATCGATTCATTCCCTATGCAAAAAAAAAAAAAAAAGTGATAGGATTTGTCTGTTATGCTTTCTTTTAAAGCCATCACATGAAATGTCAGGACTGAGAGAAGTGATCTTTGCTATGTTTACAGAAATTGTGCTTCTAAAAGATAATGCCCAACCTGTTTATTTTGTAGTTCTAGTTACTGATGACCTCTTGAGCATTAGTTTGGAATTGGGACATGATATTTATTTATTCTTTCCTTGAGATCATAGCAGCATTAATTTCAGCCAATTAATACTAAAAATGTTGCACTCTGTAATAGTAGCATATTTATTACTGATTCAATGTATATATAATAGCACAGGCAACAAAAATGGCAAATATTAAAATATTTTTAAAGTATTGTATTATCCTGTTCACATTTTTGTCCACAATGGTGATGGGGAATAACTTTTTATACTTTTCAGTGGCCCAGGGGGCTTTGTAGTTCTCACCGAACTACAGGTTTTATGTCCTAACTTTCAGTATTTCTGGTAATAATGATGAAAGAAAGATCTTAGATGAATCATTGACAAACTGTCACTGATTCATTCACAAGATGTGATTCCACCTGGCACAGTTACAACAGTCAAGGAGATGCCCGTTTAAATCTGCGGCTATGTTGAATGTATTTGGAAAATACATAGGTGTTATTTCACCAGGTCACTTCTGAAACTCTGTGTCCTGGTAGAAAATGCCATCATGAGTACAAACTAAAGGACTTGGTGGCCAGTGGAGGAACGGTCAGCGTGCCCTCGGCCCACTGGCCCCATGGACTAATGATGAATATTGGAAACTGATGCATTGCCTTTATTTTCCCTGCCTCCTCTTCCAGGGAAGCAGAAAATGAAATAAGAGGAAGGAAAGAGAAGGCCAATCTGGCAACGAGGGAGCCTCCCTAAGTGATCTTAAATGGGCTTTTGAGCTCAGAAAGCACTCAGAGTGATGCCTTTTGTCAAATACCTTCACCCACACCCTACTTATAAATACCAGAAAGACTGTTTAAAGCTAAGTTCGCAGCACTTGAGTTGTAATCAGGCCATGGATGGACATTGTATTGTACTTGCAGAGACAAACTTTCATTTAATCACATCAAAAATAAACTAAAGCGCCCTCCCTGGTGGAGCAACAGATTAAGGCATAGCACTGCAAGCTGGCTGCAGCCACTTCAGTATGAGTTCCACCCCCAGCCCCAGAGATGACACGCATGGAGTGGCAGACCTCTCCTCACCCGCCCCCTGCTCCCCTCAGAGTGTACTTTGTCACCTGGCCTGTTCTGCTCCCCACTCTGTCTTTGATGAAGCCTCTCACTGCCCCTGCACCTCTGGCCTGTACCCCTATACTGTGTGCATAAATAAATACATCTTTTTTTAAAAAAAATCAGTAAACTAAAGCATGTTTGATATGAAAATGGTAAATGAAAGGACTTTCTTAACATTAGGAATAAAATAGAAGTAGATCTAAGAATATAAGTGTATACATGAAATTCTCTATAATACATGAATTTTACAGTTTGAGCCAAATAATCCGTCCTTTGTCCCTGTATTTTTATTGTATGTAGTTTTTATACCGTCATAAACCCCAGTTCATAGACTAGATTGTATAAGTGCATATGACTGAATGAGAAGCAAGAGTAGATGAGAAAGGCAGCAGAGGGAAGGAATTGTAACAGTTTCTTCTAATTACTATGCCAGGCAGATCCTATGGCTAAACGAGTTAAATTAGCTATTTTGAAATTCATGAATCCCTCCAAACCTCTATAAAATAATAAACCACTGGACCACTGGAACAGAAAATCAAGTCTCCTGAGTTAATTTTTCCGTGCTTGTCTATCTTGGATTTGCAGATTCATTTACCCATGAGAAACTGCCTCTTAATTTTTTTATATTACTTCTGATTTCTTAAATAAGCAAATGATTTTTTAAATAGAAGGTAAGTTATTTTGAAGAAGTCTACTAGGAAAACATTATTTTTTTAAATAAGGAATTTCTTTTGTATCTCATCCCATTATTTTAAATATGTCCTCAAATGCTTTGTGCAAACACGCAGTAGCTCACCCACTTGTTCACTGAGCCCTCACTTCAAACATTTATTATCATTGTTGTCACTTTGAGGGTATCTCAAAATGGTGAGGATTTCCAGATTTTTGGCCCTCTATGTGCCTTAAATCTCCTGACCACTTTGGGTGTTTTCCCAGTAACCTTTTAGAAAAGTATAATTTGGATATTTGTGTGATCATGCTGCTAATATCTTTTGAGATCTAGCCACATAAATAGGCCATTTATTGGGAGAGGGCACTCATGCGATAGCAAAATAATTGACTGACAGGTGATCCTTGTAATGTTATAAAATATCTTTAAATTTTATGACCGTTGGATCCTCAAATGTCTCATATCACAAGCTCCCAACTTCTGGCCTTCAGCTTTTCCCACATGGCATCCATCTCCACTTGAAAGCCTTAGCCGACACTAAAATGTATGGAGCAGGGACTGATGAAATAAAGTGATATTTATTGTAAGACTCAAAAACTGGAGAAGTTGTCAGTCATAAGATAACAATAGGCATCAAATATAAATATTTTAAATATGATCTGCCCAAAGAAAATACTACTGCAATTTAAAAGTTTTATCCACTGTCTTTTTAAGTAGCTTTACTCCAAATTACAAGATTCCTTAGAATATTTTCCTTACGAGGAGTCTTTTCAGTTTTTTTGCTCATATGGGGGCAAAGTGTATTTTCAAGGGACATTTGGTTCGTCCATTTCTGTCCTCGTCATCGGCATTTCTTACTTTGAGCTTCCCAGGTACAGTGCAGTGATGATGGGCCTCTTCCCTCAGGTCGTCTTCACCTTGTAGTTCGTGAACTTGTAAATGAAGCAGATGCTGGTGCTTTATGTTTTCTAACTATTAGACAGAAAAGAAGTAAACTAAAGTCATTCCCAAAGTCAGTGCCTTGGCTTCTTCATATTAAACAAAATAGGCACCACTTACCACCAGCCGCTTCCTCGCCTTCTGACCACACAGGAGAAGGGTTGATGCTTCCTACTTAGGAATTGGATTAAAAGACAGGACTCCTGTCTTAATGACATGGCTTAGTTTTCCGAGCGTATTTCTACTGGGAAAACTAGATGGGAGACATTTGTGTTAATATATTTCTAGTTAGGATGCTGCTTGGGCTCTTATAAGGAGCTGAACGTTTCAGAGTCAAGTTAATATTTTATGCAGCTTTTCTCCAGCACACAGGAAACTGGGATAATACCGGCAATTATGTCATTTCCATTATTCTTTTCTTTGTAAAACCCTTTTCATTTGTACACTTTTATAAAATTTGCTTCTTCACTAAATGTTTTTTATCCTTATTTTCATATTGAGCAGCTTTTATGTTTTGACGTTCTCCAATATTAAAAAACAAGAAAACAGAAAGACTTAGAAAAGGAAATTTCAGTTGTCTGAACAGAATAGTAGAGGTTTTTCTGGCTGTTTCTACTTATAGAAAGATTGGGAAATTTCAGTTGCTGTTGTTTCTGGTTTTAAAATCCAATAAGGGCCCTCCCTGGTGGCGCAGCAGGTTAAAGCACAGCACTGAGAAGCTAAAGTCACTTCCGCATGAGTTCGATCCCCGCCTGCCCTGGCGGTGACCACATGGCATGGCAGACCTCTCCTGACCCGCCCGCTGCTCCCCTCAGCAGTGTGCTTCATGGATCTGCCTGTTCTGCTCCCCACTCTGTCTATAGTGAAGCCCCTCACCGCCCCCTCCCAGCCTCTGGCCTGTACCCCAGTTCTGTATGCACAAATAAATAAATCTTTAAAAAAAAAAATCCAGTAAGGTTGAGGAGCTTGACATTCTTAACTGCAGCTTTATTTTTAACATTCACTGCCGGGTTGGAGTGGATGTGTGTGTTACCTAGCATCATGGAAGACCTGTTGCTGTGGTAGACGTTAGATTATTGTTAAGTTTATTTTAGGTACTATAGTGTGATCTTGTTTGCTCAAAGTATAAATACTGGTAGAGGAGAGATTGAATGCCCAATTCTCATGCTTTTGACAAATAAGGAGTGAAATATAAAGGTGTTACATCACATATAAATTAATGGTTTCATGCTTAAGTTTTTTTTTATTACAAAAGTTTATTTTTACATCATTTTGTACATTTTTTTTCCCATCTCAATTGTAATCCCTGCGGGTTTCCCATCACCAAGTCACCCATGTGCCATCACCATAATCCCATGCATTTCCCTCCCCCCACCCCGTTTTTGATCCCATTCCCCACTCCACCCCCACAAAATGTCTCTGGTATATGGTTGTTCATTATTTTTGTTATTTTCCACCTGGTCCATTATATTCCTGCTATGAGTGAAACCATCCGGTATTTTTCTTTCTCTTTCTGGCTTATCTCACTAAGCATGATCTTTTTAGTTCCATCCAAGTTGCTACAAAAGACATGTGTTCTCTTTTTTGATTGCTGAGTAATATTCCATTGTATATATGTACCACATCTTTTTTATCCAGTCATCTACTTTTGGGCATTTGGGCTGCTTCCATGTTTTTCCAATTGTAAATAAAGCATCATGCTTAAGTTTTTAAAAATATTTCCTAAAAACTTTACTGGCATGATTCTTTTTTTTTTTTTTAAAGATTTATTTATTTGTACATATAGAACTGGGGTACAGGCCAGAGGCTTAGGGGCGGCGAGAGGCTTCACCAGAGACAGAGTGGGGAACAGAACAGGCAGATCGACGAAGTACACTGCTGAGGGGAGCAGCGGGCGGGTCAGGAGAGGTCTGCCACGCCATGTGGTCACCTCCGGGGTAGGCGGGGATCGAACTCATGCGGAAGTGGCTTTAGCTTCTCAGTGCAGTGCTTTAACCTGCTGCGCCACCAGGAGGGCCCATGATTCTTTTTTTTTTTTTTTTAAACAAAAAGAAGAGGAAATCACATAGCCACATACTTAGAAGACATTTTCTCAAGATGGACAGCTGCATGCTTCTGTCTGAAATGGCATGTGTCCTTAGGTGCAGAACTGAAAATTTGGTGATAGTCCGGGCTGCACTAAGCTACTCCAGTTTCCCACAGCTTTACGTCAACATGAGAATTTGCCTTAGTGGAAAGTAAACGGAAGCTGGAAAAAAGAAACCCATAGTTTCTCTTCTTTGGGCACACTTAGCAGTAGAGGCAAACCACACCTAGAGCTGGGCCCCAGCCCCTCCCCACTGGCAGTGTCTTCAGGAGCCAGCAGCCTGCTGCTCCCTGGCCTGAGGTGTCGGCAGCGTGGCACGTGCAGGGCTGTCTCCTCCTGTGTGGAGCCACCCACCCACTGTCATTTACAGACTGCGATTAAGATCAGAGAGATAAAGACAGGAGAAATTTTGTAGGGAAACAGAAATAATGCAACGTGAAAAAGTGGTTCTCCTGAACGAACATTTGGCATGGGCATAGAGACTTACTTTAGAGAGATACTATTTCGTTGGCTAGGGAGCTGAGTCTCTTAGAAGCACTTAGTCTACTCTGTGAGTCAGTTAATGTCAGTTAATATTACTATATTTACCACAGTGAAGATTAACCAAAATAAAGTCCCTGAAACATTATCTATTACTTAACAGCTTTCATTCTCATAGAGACATCTCAGGGGGTAAAGTAAAGTGAGGGCAGGAAGAGGAAATTTCTTGTAAATCAAATTACAGTAAAGTTTTTTGAAAAACTTGTTAGAAAGTTTAAGTGAGTTTTCTTAAAGTCTAGATGGTAGAAAACCTGATTAGCTCTGAATAGGCGACTTGGGTGAGTTTCCATATCTAAAGACTAGATAGTAGAAAGCTTGAGTGGTTATTTAGAAACTGAATAGAAGGCTGTGTGAGGTAGTAGAGTGATAAGGTTTGGGTTTTCCTCTGTCTGGCAGTGAGAGACTTTGCAGTAACAGCCATTTGTTTTTATTAATCAGCCAGTTGTCAAATCACTTTTGACTTTAAGAGGAATTTCTCACCCTGGTGCAGTACTTGCTTGTCAGGCCAGGTAGCGCCTCCTGAGGCTGAGGCAATCCAATTGTAAGCTGAAGGTTGCTAAGAATATTTTAATATTACGATTATACAAAAAAGGGAGGTCATAACATAAGTTAGTGTGGAAAGTCTGATTTTTCAGA